TTATTATTATTATTATTATTATTATCATTATTATTATTATTATTATTGCTTCTGTTGTAATAATTTAACCTATTGTATTTTATGTATGTTGATAATTTCTGATTTGCATTTATAAAAAAGAAGAATTGAATAAAATTATGTCCAAATTGTTTGAATTATTGTTAATATTTGATTGATTTCAAATAGAACAGAGGAAAATAAAATGCATTTAAATTATCAAAGTATTACTCAGTGGGATAAATTGAAGAAGAAAAAGAAAAGGAAAAGAAAGAATGAATAATTGTAGTTAAAATGATTTAACAAACATTATCAGTTATCATAATTTATTAATAACACTAACCTATACAATTTTTCTTTATTATTATAACTTATCAGTATTTACCCTTTATTGATAATAATTTTTAATTATGTTTAAGTGATAATGATGATTGCAATGATATATGCTATTCATCATTTACTTTATTATTAAAATTAACGAATAAATAAATGGTAATTATCAAAATATTTTTTTTTTTTTTTGTAAAATCAATGCATACTTGCAAAATGATAATTTAAAATAAACAATGATTAGCTTTTTCCATGATTACGAAAATTGTTGATTGATGATCATTTTGGGTTATTCGGTTTACATGTTTCAAAATTTATATTTTAATTTCGATATAATCAATCGATGAAATGAAAGGGAAGAAAGATGAAAATATTGAAAACCATTGCTTTCATTATTAGTTTAAACAATTAAACTGATTGTTATTTTTTGTTTAATTTTTTTTTACAAATAATTTATTAACTCTATGAGTAAAATATTTTAACGATTACTTCAATTTTAAATTACAAAAATTCTCTTTTAATTTCCCCTCCCTAAAGTTTAAATTTTTCTCTTTTTTTTTGCTTTGAAAGTGAGTTTACATAGTGCGAATTTTTCTTGCTTTTGAAAAAGATGGCAATTTGAATGGCTGAAATTAATTAATTATGAATGAGTAAGCAAAATGAAAATTTGCTTTTTGTCATAGTTTGATTTGTTCATTGATTTAATTGCTTTAATTTCAATGATACATTTTTAACAAATACAATGGAATGGTTAAATTTCATGTTTAAAAATGGTAATTTTAATTCAAATTCAAATAAAAATGCTAAAACTGAAAGAATTTAAATAATGTTATGATATTACAATAGTTACATTTCCTTATTCCGATTAATTATTTCCTTTATCCGGAATGCTAGTTATTTTCCAATCCGGAAATTGCAGAAAAAACAAATGGGAAAATAATGCCTAAATTAATCAATTTATCAGTTTTTGAACTGATAATAATAAATGCGTATAATTGAAATTTATTGTATTCTGTTATAATTGGAAATATTTTTGCAGTAATTACGAAATAATTTCATACCAAAATAAATTTGTGTATTAACAATTCATTCATTTTAGGTAAAGTAATCAATATTAAATGTAAATTTTATTTTATTTTATTTTATTTTTTAAATGAAATGAAAATTTTATTTAGCAAAATAATCCATTCCATTATGCTCTCTATATGCTGTAATTCATTATATTTGTTATTATCATTATTTTATTACTATAATTATCATTATTGATTAACTAAAGCAATCCTTTTTCACTAATGATATCATTTAGATCTGCGTTATCCCATTAATAATACCATTGTTACTTGCCCAACATCACTATCCATTCAAATACACATCTGTCATTATCGTTATGTTTACTGTTTTAATAATCATTCATTTATCACTATTACTGTTATTATCTTATCATTATCGATTAACTAAGGCAATCTTTTTCTCTGATAATATTACTCATTTTAGCATCTTATTTGCATATTATAATTCTATTCATTTCTTTTGAATCAATTAATTCAACATCAGTAATTATTCATTAATTAATTAAGTTACCAATAATTTAGGATTTATTGTTTAAATTTGCAAGATGAACGGCATTGGAAATATGATTCATTTTGGTCATCAAATAAAAATGTTTAAATTAATGATTTGAAAGATAAACGAATAACATATACGGTACTTTAATTTTGTCATAATAATTATTAAATCACCAAATTAACAGTAGTTATTTGATTGTTAGTAAATTCAATTAATGAGTTATCGCGCTAGGACGAAAAGTTGCATAACGGCACTTCTGTTGATAGCTTTGAAAATTTTGAAGTTTGGTTTAGCTGGTTCGGTTCCAATGTGAGTGGTGATTTGGGGTCGGTCGGGATGTGTGGTACATTTTTTGATTAGTACGGTAATGAGGTTGAGTAACGTTTAACTTATCATCTTTTGTCATCTTCTATCTTTTACCGTCACTTATAATCGTTCAATTTGAGCCTTTCACGTGTAAATATACATATGATTACGTGTACACTTTGTGTATATTAGCTTTACTCTCCAGCTGAGCTGTTACGTTAAGCGTCCAACTTCATGTTTAACTTTCATTATTACTATAAAATGCGTGGACGTAACATAAATATTATGTCTAACACTCAATATTTCATTTGATGTTTCAGCCATAGATCCCGTAATTTCTGCTTTTTTCACTATTTTAGGTCGTTGTTATTATTTGGCCATTACTGCATCATGACGCAATTTTTACCGGATAATTTGTTGGCCTTATTTGAAGCCCGACCGCCATTACCGTATAAACCACCACCTGATGAATTACTTATTGATCGGAAGCGACCAAAAATGTCCGGCTTATCCGAATATATTCATCTTTTTGAGGTATGTTTCCATGCTATGAGATGATAATTAATGCCATAAAGATATTAGAGACCTGAACTGATTTTGTATTTCTGGTGTCATATAAGATGGTGTGGCAGGTTCTTACCATACTAAGATTAAAATAATGAAAAATTAATGAAACAATGATTTAATGTTACATCTTTTTGTTATATAACAGACTCTTTCACTTATGCCGAAATTTTATTGAAAGAATATATTTCATTTAATGCTTTCACTAATAGCTGTCTTTCAGATTTCATCTGCAGCAGATGTATTTGTTTACTTATTTACAGGATCCCAAAGATACGCCGCCAAAACCAGTCTATGAAACGAAAGAAGAAAGACGAGCTCGACGGGTCAGTGAAATATATTTTCAGATTCGGAACAATTATATGCAGTTTCCTTTGATCTGCGTCTTGTATTTGTTCGGTGCATAAAAAGATTGCGAAAAGATTTAGATGAGATTATAACTTTGCAAGATACATAAGAAGATGAAGTTTTAGATACATGCAAAGATGATTACTAAAAATACTGTCATCTTTTAACGGCAGTTATATATTACTTTGATATCAGCTACAATTAGTTAATTATATTTGTTATATTTGCTGCAGCGGAAAGAAAAAGAAGAGCTGCTGGCATATAAGATTGAACAGGGCATTGCGACATGTATGTTACTTTTTAGATTTTCCATATTATTATCTAATTGCTGATTTCATTGTTGTTTCAATCGTAAAAGAGATTTTTCAGTCGTCTTATTAAAAATTTTCCATATTTCTTAACTTTTATAAGCTACATAATTCCTCTATTGTTCCAGGGAGTCCGGCTCAAAATCCAAGTGCAACCGTTGATCCATATAAGACTCTATTTGTAGCTCGAATAGTAAGCTTCCAATATAACATTGATTTTTTTTTCCTGAATTATAAATCATTTTCAACAATTTCATGGGCAAACATCAAAAATCGCTCAAAAAATGATTTGCAGTACTATTTAATTTGACCCGTTTCCCTAGAGAAGTTTTGAAATTTCTAAATTTTATTTGGGTTATGATTCAAAATTTAGCTTGAATTAGGGGACCTGTGTGCAGCTAGTGTGCTCAACACGTGGGAAAATGAATTATCATTTATTGCAAGTACCTGCTTCTGACTTCTGAAATGTAAAATAATTGGGGAAAACTACTTTTAAAAGAACTTTTAACGCAGCTTTATAGGCACATATAATTTTTGCTTTATTGGTCTTCGTTTTCTGGATCTTCTGAAGTCTGAGGGAAATTTCCTTAATCCGTCTCAGTTCATGCTACAAAGTAATGGATGGTAACGATTTCTTATGTTTCAGAATTACGAGACTTCGGAATCGAAACTTCGACGAGAATTCGAGCAGTTTGGAAAGATCACTCGTGTAAGTCAGTTTCATTCATTGTGGGTCTTAACTAAGTTCGCGGTTCAAAAAACTTGCTGTGCAAAGAATGCAAAAATATCGTATGCTTTGTAAAATTGTTTCCCTCATGAAATATTACACTATCCATTGCGTAGTGGTCATACTTTGTCATATATTACTGGTTTGGTATTGAAAGGTTTTGGGAGAAACAAGATTATATTTGTATTGTAACGTTCGTATCAGCACATTTATTGGGTTAACCTCTCTCCTAAAGCTCACTGAGTGTTCAAGTTATTCTTTGACGATTATCGATGTCGACCATTTTGAGATTTTGTTTTTTCAGCTAGCTTTAGTTCATGATAAGAATGGGAAACCACGGGGTTATGCCTTTATCGAATATCAGCATAAAGAATCGATGTCAGGTAATTTTCTAAAATTTTTTGTAAAAATACTGAAGTGCTTTGATAACGGTAAGTCAGTTTATTAGTTTGGCAGAAATTTTGGTACCTTCATGAGTAGATGATTGTGTTATCAGGTTTTTCTTATGATTCATATATTCATTAAGTGTTGTGGACGATAAGAATGGTTTGACTTGAATATCTAAAGTTGCTCAATTCCTTTTAATCTAGGGTTGCTCAATTTTTACACATTTATACTGAATCCTTAGACTTTGGAAAGTTTAGATAAGAGTGAAAGTGTAAGTTCGAGTTGATCTCTGATGCTCTTATTTTGAAGTTACTTGTTTTTGTTGAAACACCAATTTTACTCTTTCTTTTTCATACCACTCTTGTTTCGTTTTTCTCATTGCGGTATTTCGCAACTGTTTTTACTCGTAAAATGTACAGCTTTGGTAGAGTTGTCTTAATCTTATAGCACTCTCCAGTCGACATCTTGCTTTTGTTTTTACATCGATAGAAGGAACCAACTTTTGATAATACTTTGAATAACTACCCTTCCAACCGTCTCTCTTACACCTAAGCTGACATATGGGCTAAACAGTGCTGTATTGTAAAAGTAAAAGGTAAAAATGCCATGGGTCTCTTTACGTGATGCAGTTGCTGTTATGCTTTCTTTTGATTGTTACCATGGGCCCTTTTCATTAGAAAAGGGATGAAATAATAACTGGGGTAATTCTGCTGGACTGTTAGTGAAGGGTTATTTTTTCAAATCAATTTTTAGTTACTGGCATATTTGTTGTTGTTGTTGTTTGTTGTTGTAAATGGGTAAGTTACATGGTTGTGTGACATTTTGGACACGCATACCTTTCTTTCTTGGCACAACTTTTTTAATACTTCTTTTTTTGGAAATCTACGAAAACTTATGGTGCTGTATTTGCAGAAGGGCAGCATTCGCTATGAATGGTCGTGCCTGTCTCTTGAATGCACACATACATCAGCCATGGGTTTGTTTCTAAACACTGTGTTGAGTCGTCTAAATTTTATGCTGTTTTTAAAACCGAGTTTTGGCATTTGAAAAAAAGAAACAGGAATAATAAATTACATAATAGTATGCGACTCACACAGAAAAGTGGTTAAGAAACCTGAAACTGGCGCAAGATTGCAGAGCGCTTTTGCCATGGTTTGTTTTAAGTGCGGTAAGGCTCCGTGTGTGTGTGTGTTTACGTGTGTGTGTTTGTGTTTCTATAATATATATATATATACATATATATATATATATACATATGTATATATGCGTTTGTGTTAATTAGCAGTATTGTTAGAATCAAAGAAAGGCTAATAACTAGCAAACTATATTCTGAAACTGATCGAGGCTGCCAGAAGGATTTCTCAAAATGGTGTTTTATGTAAGAATGAAAGAATACCGTTTTGAACTCAAAAGATGAGAGAGCATTTCTGTAATTTCAGCATCAAAAAATAATGAGCTATTTAGAATGTAGCGAAGTATTTGTTACTCACTGAAGTGCAAAAGGTTGGGGTAAATAACGTATTGTTTTGTACTTGCTGTTTCTGATGATATCATTACTTAGATATTGTAGCTGGCAGCTTCATTTTTTCTTTTTTTGCTGATGTGAAATTTGACAGTTTGTTTATTGCTTAATTTCACTTTCTACTCTGTTTATAATCAAAAAAAAAAAAGAAATTGGTTCATTATTTGGTACTAAAGGCGGGTAAGTTGAAAGAAGGGGTAAGTTATGTGGGTAAGTTTTCACGTGGACGCATGTTTCTCCAATTGGCGCATGCTTTTCATCTAGCAGATACTGTATTGTCATTAACGTGCATGTAAAGGTAAGCTGGGTGAGTTCCTTTGAGTAGTAGTAGCTTCTGTAATGCTAAGTAAAGTTAATATCAATTATTTGGACCAGGGATTAAAAAACTATTGTTACGTTTCATTTTATCGAGGCAGACTATTTCTTCCAATATGGAATTATGAATGGCTAATCATCACTGAATTTAATAGTGGTTAATGAAGAAAATTGTTATCTACGCTGGCAGAGTGTAGACTCTTCATTGCAGGTACAACGTTACATGTTGTTTGCTAATTATCGCTAAAAAAATTTTTTTTAGAAGCTTACAAAAAAGCTGATGGCATGAAAATTGATGGAAGACGGGTGGTTGTTGACTATGAGCGTGGCCGTACGCAGAAATCTTGGTTGCCACGACGACTTGGTACGTTTATTATCACTTAATGCTTAGAAAGCGCAACAGTTACTAGTTTCGACAGATAAGCTTTATTTTGTGCGCAAAAAATCCGTTATATTAGTTTAGAATTTTGAAATCCTAAAACTGTACCATCCTACAGTAACTTACATTGATTCCATTTTTAGGTGGTGGTAAAGGTGATACGCGACGTCTCCGTGAATCGAAGGCTGTGCTTGAAGCAGCTGCATTGGAAATGGCTCATGAGGACCGTGATCATCGATCATCATCCACCCATCGATCATATTCGCATGATCGCGATCGTGAACATAATGGTACAGTTTCATCGAATTCAAGGCGCCGCAGTCGTAGTCGTGATCGTGAACGTGATCGTGATCGTGATCGCGATAGAGACCGTGATCGGGATTCAAGACGGTGAGTTCTTAGGTGTTTGGTAAATGCTCGTTTATTTCATCTCCTTAACTGGGGAATTTTCACGGCTTAGAAAGCTAGTTTTCACTTTTCACGATCTCTGCTCTGTTCTTACATCAGAGTGGACATTGAACAAAAAGTTGCATGCAGGGATGAAATGATATCTCACTGAAATAAACATTGGGTTCAGCACGTTAACCTAATATCGTTCTTCATCTCTTATAGCTTCGATGTGCATTCTATCCGTAGTTGATAGAGTACTGAATCGATTGCTGTTGCTATGCAAATTGGTTTTGTAACTGTTGATTTTAGTATTTGTACTGACTGAAATGAAAACTTCTCTATTAGTTATTAATCGCCAACACTTATAGCATTTTAGATGCTGTCATCGAAGAAGTGATTTTTGGTATCTAGTAATTTTCCACCCAGAAATGTTAAATGCAGCTTTATAACATAGGTTTTTCAGCAAACGGATAGTTGGAATATATACTACCGATGTATGAAATTGTATTCCATTGGATTTAATGTCGATATATTTTTTTAAACTCATTTTTAATGCAGTAGTCAAGATTTATGGCATTTTAGATACGATGATCATCGTTCGTCGCGCGACAGTCGAGGTGATGGCGATCGAGATCGGGAATACCGTGATCGGGATCGTGACCGGGATAGAGGCCGTGATTATGAACGTCGACGTCATTAAATTACAGGATGATTTGAGCAAGACCTTTTTTTTTTTGTTATTTGAGGCTGCTCATTAGAGCGTTTAACAAAGCGAGTCACTTTAATGACATCTGAAAATTTTCAAAAGCAAAATTCATCTAGCATACCAATTCTCCATTGTCACGGTAAGTTTAGCTGTTTGTTACGCAGCATACTTTTATGGAATTTGTTTATTGTTTCAAGTGACTTTTATGATGTTTTCATGAATCGATGCAAAGTTTTATTTATGGTGTTGTTCTTTTTCGATGTTTGAATTGATAAATTTTGGATAGGTCACTGGAATTTCTTACTCAACTAGTCATCAGTTTCATTGCATTTTTTCATTCATTATACCAAGGATTATCGGATTCCTGCGATCAATGGTTTGTTAAGGTCAACGATTGTGAGGATGATCATCTGATATCCAAATTAATAAGTGAACATGATAATATATTCATTAGTTTTTCTCATATTTAATAATTACAAGGAAAATATTCTTTAAAATTAAAAGCATGCTTTTTTAAATAGGCTTATAAGAGATTAGATTTGAAAATACAAATTGTTGGATATACTTCATATGTCTTGGTGAAGAGTGATGGAATAAATAATATCTACTGCTACTGTTGTTTTTACCAAACTGCCATACTTTCTTGTAAAATTCGAATCTGACCAAAGTGATTACACTTAAATCAATGATTACATTTAAATCACTGAGTCATTTCACTTAGCATAACACACCTGTATCAATATTTTCTTAATGTATACAATCGCGAGTTTCTCCAACATATTTCCCAGCCAGTTCCATTGTGCCCGCATTGTACCATTTTTTCGGTATTTTTGCCTTCTGTGATATATCCATCGGGTATCATAATACTTATTTTCCTTTGACACGGCTAAAATAATAAGTGGAAATAAAATATTTGGATAAATGGCGTATTTTGAATATAATTTCTAGATTTAATTTTTGAATAAAATAATTTTATTAAAAGATAAAAAAATGATTCGTCACTAACTTATGGGTTTTTATTTCATATTTTGCAAGCTCTTGTAAGGTAATTACCTTAATTCCATCATT